ACGTACACGCTCCAAACAAAAGTCACTTATTTCAAAAGGAACGCCAAGTTGAGGTTTGGTTTGGTGGTTACTACATGAGGGCACCTGCATACGGTCTAGTGTTTTGGGTCTTACCTAATGTACTCAAATAATTGGTGCCTTCCCGCATCAGTGTATTATAAATTGTTCGGCGGGTCAGGGGCTGCACCAATTGTTGTGCGGGCCTTAACATCTGCATCATCCAACTTCAAGATAAAGTTGTACCGTTTAAATTTAACACAGTGGCCACACCCAGTATTTTGTGTGTTGGACCCCAGTGTTCGTAAAACCGACCGATCTAATCAGTAACCGTCTGGTTAGATCGGAACTGATTTTGGGCGGTTTTGGTGATCAATCGATATTTTTAAACTTTAGATACGATACTACTTCAAATTTATATTGCATATATTAGGATGGTTTATTGGTTATATGTGAATCATGTTTCGAATCTTGCTATCTCTCTTTTAAGCATTTTTGCGTTTTTTCTTTTAGGCAATCATTGCCTACCGGAATCTTAAGATTTTTTACGTTTTTTTTCTTTCAAGTTGTCCCACCGGAATCGAGTTTGAAACATGTCATCTATTATTAGACCCACTAACCAATACATCATTTCCAACTTAGTGACAAAAAAAATGGCCTATGTTATATATAATTTAATGTTTTCTTCATTTTCTTTAAAAAAAAGAATTGGTCAAGTTGATTTTTTTAACACTATTTTAATATTCTTTATATTATGGTAAAGATTAAAAAAAAATTTGGTCAATGATACTTTTATAGTTTCCCATCTTTTTCGAAAAATTTTAAAAATATCCCTAGGCACAAATCAATTCGTTAAGATTCATTTTTTTCATTAATTTGTAACTTCATTTGAGTGTGTTTTGCTTGATCACATTCTTTATATTACTTTCATATTTTAATAGTTTTTTTTTGTACCTTTTTAAATTTTTTTAATACTTTTTGATCGTACGGGACTTGCCCGGTTAGAGCGGTTGAATCGGCCGGTTTACCGATTAGGCCGGTATAATCGCTTCCGGGCCCATGTTCCATTAATCATTCCAGTTCGATCTTGCAAACACTAGTTGGGCCCACATAAAAATGTGAACCTCAATATAATTAACTAATTTTTTGAAAAATAAAGGTTAATCAAAATGACATTACTTTGTCCAAATAATGTTGTAGACAATATCAGGGATGGTCTAACACTGCACCATATTTTGATTAACATTTTTATGTTACATTGTAGCTCAGGATCTCAAGCATTTTATGCAAACATAAATTATACTCCAAAAATCCATGACTAATATATGATCATTCCACCTAATCACCGAAAAAGCCGAGATGAAATTAAGCCTAAACCAATAAAAAAGTTTAAAGATTGTAATAGTTGTTACATAAGAGACACAAATGAACGTGTCATAGTTTAGTAGAGTAGAGGTTTATGGGTGATTTTCTGTTTATATGATAATGGTACAATCGATTATTCTTATTATTATTTTAGAATAAATGGTACAATCAGTTATCCACAAAAAAAGGTGGGCATTTGGTAATTTGTAGGTGAATAATAGTCCGTAGGCCCATATGTTGATGTAATAAAAATGGATGAAAGAGACTTGAAAATCCAAGATATTGTAAACATATCCAAATTTCAACATCAATGACTTGAAATGATTTTTGGCACCTAAATGATAGTTGACACCTAAGCTTAAAAACAAGAGAAAAATAGACATAGATTAACATGAATACAATGAAATGTGTTGGAACTCATGTGTGCCTATAAGTGCGTCTTGTGTTTATAAGCATTCCTTCTTTTATTAAAGAATGCCGTTTAATATCTCCCTTTATCAGCGGTAAAAAGCTCCTTTTACCCATAATAAAAGTAGAACTCAAGACATCATGTTGTAGAATCCATTACCTTGACCACCAATGCCCTGGGTCTATTCCCGTATCTACCTTATGAATTCAGACCAGTGTTTGAGAAAACACGATGTGAATTGGGAATAACAAATCCGGATTGGGTTTGGTAGGTGGATGATTCAATCCTAGATCACATATTTTATTTTTTTATTAATTTTTATTCTCAAATTAATAGCAGTGTTTTTAATAGATGGAGAGGCAATCCACTTGGCCCATCCATCTATTAAAACACTGCTTCGAAAATCAGATGCAACCATCCTAATCTAGAACTTCTGTTTGTGTGAGTGTCTCCAAGGGCCAGGCCTTGGATTTTAGGGCCGGGTCCAAACTTCAGCTAATCGGTTCGGTTCTAGTATAATTTTTGCACTAGGAGGGGTTGGGCTTGCCTCGACTCGAAATATTTAAAGCTCTCATCATGTCAGGTTTCAAACCTTAAATTTTATAATTAAAGGTGAAAATATATTTTCAAGCCATTATAAGAACTTTCAACACTGAAATTGTATCTTTTGGTAAAATTTAGATATAGGGTAGGTTGAGAATCCTGGTGTCCTTTGTTGTTGAAAGAATTGAGAGAGAGAGAGAGAGTGTGTGAAAGAGTGTTGCCCATTTGTTAAAGATGGATGTAGAAAAATAGTGGTTCCACCATAACACATACGGGGTTAAAAATAGGGAAAATTATAAATACCTTTTAATTTTAAGTTTCTATGCATCCTACCCACTAATATTTTTCTATTATGCATTGAACCCAAACACCATTTTTTATTATATTTACCTTCCAATCAAATAGACAAAACATTTTGATTTCAAAATGCATTTTTTACTCTCTCTACCCCTTCTTAACATATTTTTTATATTTCTCTCTCAAACTCTCTCTAGTTACCAAAAAAAACTCTCTCATCCGTCCTCTCTTTCTCTCTCCATTAGTTTCTCTCTACCCTCCCTCACTCTTTCTCTCTCAACCTTCCCTCACCGTTTCTCTCTCTATCTATCTTTCTCTCTCTACTCTCCTTCACCATTTCTCTCTATCTATCTTTCTCTCGCTACCCTCCCTCGCTCTATTCCTCTTCCTCTCGTCCCTCATTCTTTTACGCTCTACCACTCACAAGCCCATAATGCGGTCCGATATGTTTTTGTGTCAGATTGAATTTTTTTTTGTGGTTCAGCACAAAAAAGTGCTAAACTGTAAAAAAAATTTCAGTTCGGCACAAAAAAGTATCGGACCATTCCAGACTGCATTATGGGCATGTGAAATTTAATGGAATCCAATGTGGTACGGTACGTTTTTGTGTCGGACCGAATTTTTTTTTGCAATCTGGCACAAAAACGTGCCGGACTGCATTATGAGTGGTAGAGAGAGAAAGTATGAAGGAGGGTAAGGAGATAGAACGAGAAAGTGAAAGAGGGTATAGAGAGAAGGAAAAATGGGTAGAGAGAGAGAGAATGGTTGGAGAGAGATAGCGAGAAAATAAGAGACGGTCACATGTCTAAAAAGATAAAGAAAAAAGGGAGAAAAAGGGGAAAATGGTATTTTGGTATTAAAATGTTTTGACTTTTTGGTTTGGGGAGGGGGGGTTTGAGGTAAAATTTAGGGTATAATATAAAAAATATTCGGAAGTAGGACGTATAGAAAATTGAAATTGGGGATATCTATAATTTTTTTAAAAAAATATATTAAAAATTACAACTTTTTTTTTAAATTTTCTTTTTTCTATTTTTATATTCATCGCATCCTGAGGAGATTTTCAACGCCTAAAGTTTTGTGGAGAGAGGACTATATGCGTAGATGACTATGTGGACTGATTAAAACCTTATCTTTTATTTAATGAAAAAGTTTGTATAAGGTTGCTGCCTTATACCGTAGAATTAAAGTGCACCTTAAAAATCCTATAGAAAAAAGTGGCATCTCGTCTTCCATATATATATATATATATGGATATAAAGAAAAAAGAGAATTTCAAATCATAAAAATAATGCATTTTGTGACAAGCTATTTAGAGTATCTATTTTCAAGATTCTCCAGTTTTTATAGATATGCTCGATCTATACTGTTTTAAAAAATTAATATGGGTGTAGTTTGTATAAGGGGAAAACATTTTTATAATGTTGACATCTTAAATTGTAGAATTAAGGTGCACCTTAAAAATCCATCGAAAGGGCTATTTTGATATTGGAAAACCATCTAATTAATCGTTTCTGACATTGAGATGTATAGATATGAGAAAAAGAAAAAAAACAGAAGAAGAGAGATTTCAAATCCCAAAAATAATACATTTTGCAACATATTATTTAGATTGTCCATTTTCAAAATTTTCTTTGTGATTATAGATTTGCTTGATTTGAAACATTTTTAGGTTTAAAATTTTATAATTAGAGATGAAAATAGATTCTTGGGCCGTACTCAAAATTTTCAACATCAAAGTTAGATCTTATGACAAAGTTTGTAAAGGGTGTAAGGTTGCAACATTAAATAAGCCTCACCTTTTACAAGGTGCTCATGTTATAGTGTATAGTAAGGCATACATCTAAATTTTGTTGAAAAATTTAGATTTGGTACCGAAAACCTTATGATGGCTTGAAAATTCATATTCAACCGTGAATAACGATGTAGATTTGGTACCGAAAACCTTATAATGGCTTGAAAATTCCATATTCAACCGTGAATATGAAATTTTACATTTCTTATAAATAGTGAACATTGATTGTATCTATAAATATTTCAAAACTTAAAAAATAGATGGTTCAGATAACTTATTGAAATACGAACTACTTTTAGGACTTAATTTTTTCTTCCTTTATATCATATATCTCGAGGTTGAAATGATCAATTGGAAGGTTTTCTAACTTTGAAATACTGTATGCCACTAAACTTTTGAGGTGCATATTTTAGTTATAACTTTATTTAAATTTTTTCCGTTTCAAATTTCATAATTAGCGTTGAAGTTCAAGGTTTGACATTGTACTACAACTGCATCTTCCATTAAAATTTAAAGGTGTACCTTATTACTTGTACACTAGGCGAGAGCACCTTGTGCAAAAACCCCATCCCTTTATATAAAGAAGTAAAACAATAATCACCAATAGTATCAGTCAGCATTAAAATTGGAAAAGCAGCAGAGATCAACAACAAACTTCATTCAAGAATGCACATCCACTAACTAAATACATCAGACCAGGAAAGAGAAATAAAACATCTAACAACAAAATAACGAAATCCATCATCAGTGTTGGCCAGTAAGCCAACTTAGAAAGAGAGAGAGAGAAGCAACAAATAAACAACCGTGGCAAATCAGCAGAGTCATAAAAAACCACACCATGTATGATCCTAAGCCAAGAAAAGCTCTCCTTCTCGGTAGAAAGAACCATGGCACAAGTAAAGCCACTAAAAATCCCAAACCGAGTCCCTTTCTATTCTTTCTTTTTGATTAGGGAAACTGAAACTTCATATACTGAATTCCTTCTTTTTGATCAGGGGAACTGAAACTTTATATACTGAATTTTCGAAGAAGGCGGGCTTATATAAACCCAAAGCAATGATATGATGATCGAGAGCAAACCTGACCAAACAAACACAATTGTTGGTACTCTTCCTCTCCTCCCCATCAACCCCTTAGCAAATGGATACAAGTGAATAAGTACCCAAAAGCTGAAAAACACTCCCCCTACAAGCTTGCTCCATTGTGGTATCTCACTATACATTGTCCTTGCCACTCCAACTGCAATTGCTATCATATTCACCATCATAATTGTAATAGGAGGCACCATCAGAAAGCTCCATTTCACCATATAAAGCTCTGCGAAATCGTCTTCGTTTTCATCATTTGAAGACTTGGTAGTAAGAGTAAAAGAGATATCAACCCCTGCTATAACTTTCAGTAGACCTTGTAAAACGGCGGCTGGATGTGCGCTAGTCCCCCCGATAAGCCAGAATTGCTCATTTCTCCACCACTCGTGAAGGGTTATTCCAGACCATTTGATTTCAAGGAGGGCTAGTAGAGATAGGGTGAGGGTGATAAGAAGGAGGAAGACCAGAAACATGATAGAGAGAGATTGGACGATGAATTGGCCGGTGAAGAGAGAGAGAGCGGGCAAGAAGCAATAGACCAAGAGGAAAATTGAGGTGAATGGATATATCCCAACATTGAAATAGGCCACTTTTTGAAGGAACTTCATTCTTCGACTTGAGAAAATGGCGTTATTTCTTGAGAAGAAGATCTCTACTGACCCAGTGGCCCATCGGAGAACCTGGTGGAGCCGGTCGGTTAGATTAATGGGTGCTGTTCCTCTAAATGCATCTCTCTTAGTTACACAGTAAACTGACCTCCAACCTCTATTATGCATTCTATAACCAGTGACCACATCCTCTGTGACTGACCCATATATCCATCCTACCCTTCTTCCCCATTCTGTTTTATCTTCATAAAAGCACGAGATCACATTAATGGCTTCTGCAACAGCTGCTGCATCAAGAGGCTCTCTTGGAACCGCTAAAGAACCAGCAGGTCTCCCCTCTTTTGTCGAACCATGCCCATCTTGAACCAACCTTCCTTGAAACTCAGCAACTGGTATAGATTCCAAGAGAGAGTCTGAGTTCCCAAACCTTCTAGAGAGAAGTTGGGATTCTATGTCTTCGTCATCTGAGTCATAGCCATTGATACAGGGTTTGGTTTCTTCTTTTCCTTTCTCTTTTTTAGATGGATTTTTGGGTTTCCTCAGTTGAACCTTGAGTTTCCTTCTCCCGAGCCATCCCATGTGCTCAGTGGCTCGAGGAGGGCTGAAACCATAGAGGGCGACCCTTCGAAAGATGCACCCTGTACCCACATACATTGGACCCTGCAAGCCATCAAAAGCCCGAAGGCTCACATCGAAGAAGACAGCGTTGTGATTTGCATATCGATCATTTGGGTCTATGCCTTCGAATCTCTGAGGAAATTGGACATAGCATATTCTATCTCCTCCTCTATCTAGCATAAAACACATCCCTTCTCTCAAGGCTAGAGAGTTGTAAATATAGTGATCACAGTCTAGGTTGAGGATGAAGGGACCATTTGACATTATGGCACTGGTTCGAACCAGAGCATTCATGGCTCCTGCCTTCTTGTTGTGATCATAGCCTGGCCTCTTCTCTCTAGAGACATAGACCAACATCGGTAGTCTGATGTCCACATCAGCTGTGTCTACAAAGTTCATCTCGTCGGCCATACCGCCCATTACTGGTTCTGAGCTTGGAGGGGCAAGCATTGCCTGTTTTCGAACAATTAAAGAATGATATATAAGATCTCATGAGTACTAACTTCGAATTTTTATAGGAGATTAGAGGAGTCATTGAAATTTACTCTCTAAAATGAAAAGTAATGTATAAGGTAATTTGAAAGAGAAGGGGGTCACAATGCTCTTTTTTGCACAATTCAAGAACAATATAAAAATTTCATTAAACCTAATTTTGAGTTTTCAATAGAGATCATTAGAGGTTATTGAGTTTGCACTTTTTCTTTCTAATTAGGAAAATTAATAAACAAGTATATTACATGAAACCAGCTAGTTGAGAGGGGATGGCCAAGCCAAAAGGAAGTTTTGAACATGGAATAATTAATTACAAGATAAGAGCAGAGAAATCTCTATGGAAAAAGAAATATGGAAAGGTTTCATGATCATTAGTTACAACTTATCAGAGGAGATTAACAAAATATTTGAATGCCGCCATCATCATCATCAGGGCCTTTTTCCAACCATTTGGGGTCGGCTAAGTATTTGAATGCCACAGTTTCTTTAAATTGGAAGAAAACCATATAAGGAAAAGCAGAAAAAAGAGAATTGTACACTTGACTGTCTCTAAATAAGAAGACCACTATCTAAAGAGAAAGACCACAAATCAAGAGACAGCAAAGAAAATTAAAGTTAGATAAGGTCAATATATCTACCGTCATCATCATCAGGGCCTTTTCCAAACCATTTGAGGTCGGCTAAGTATTTGAATGCCACAGTTTCTTTAAATTGGAAGGAAACCATATAAGGAAAAGCAGAAAAAGGAGAATTGTGCACTTTACTGTCTCTAAATAAGAAGACTACCATCTAAAGAAAAAGACTACAAATCAAGAAACAGCAAAGAAGATTAAAGTTAGATAAGATCACTCTATTTACCGATTCTACACTCCCTTTATCTATATCTAATTGCAAACAAGTAGCACAAGAAAAGCGACCTGAATTATTCCAATGTGATCACCTCGCGAATGGTCTCTCTCGCCTGAAGCCCAAGCTCCAGACCAGTGAGAACCATCGGACATCCATGTAGCCTTAGGAACCTTGATAGGTTCTGATGGATTACCCCCCATTTCCATTTGCTTCCTCTTAGTTCTAAGCTCTTCGTGGGCATTATAAGCATCTGATCTCCTCCTTATGGATTCAGGTAATGAGTTAATCCTCACCTTGAATTCATCATACTCTCTCTTCACTCTTCTTCTCTCCCTAACAAAATCAACCTTCACTTTGTTCTTCGTAGGATCTCTCTTAAGCCCAAAATAAGCATCAGGATTTCTTGGTTCGATGTTATGTTTCCTACAAAAAGGAACCCAAATTCGAGCAAAGCTCGCCGTCTCTGCAAGAGCTTCAAAAGTGAGAAGAGAACCACCATCATCTGATAAATAACAGGCAACTTTTTCAACTGGGTAATCAACTGCAAGAATCGATAGGATTGTATTTGCAGTAACAAGTGGGGGTTCTTTTTCAGGGTCAGCAGTAGAAACAAATATGTCGATTGCCGGTAAATCTGATCTTCCTTTTGGGTTTCGAAGAGTTGGAGATTCGAATCTTTCTCTTAAAACAGAGAGGTCGGTTACTCTGTTTACAGGACATAGCTTTGGGAGCTGGTCGAGAAGCCATGAGAGGGCAAACCAGAGCTCGCAGGTTATGGAGAGTCCCCATAGCCACATGGCCTCGTGGTTCGGGTGTCTAATTCGCCAGGCTAGAAAAAAACCAAGTGCTGCCAGTCGAATCACGATCAATAATCTGAAATTTTTTGTGAAAACATAAAAACATAAGTGAGTTTTTTTTCATTTTAGAAACACTAGAATCCATAGGAATAGTCAAAATTTGAACTATAGCTATCATTCCCTCTCTATCTTTCTCCAACAAAATTGTAAAAAAGTTATCAGAACACAGAGTATCAGTCAATTTCTCTCCCTTGTAAACACTAGTATATATAAAATATGTAAAAAAAATTCAGAACACAAAGTCGAATCACGATCAATAATCTGAAAACTTTTTTTGAAACCATAAAAAAGTCACGATCAATAATCTGAAATTTTTTGTGAAACCATAAAAAATAAGTGAGTATTTTCATTTTAGAAACATTAGAATCAATGGGAGGAGTCAGAATTTGAACTCTCGCTATCATTCCCTCTTTATCTCTCTCCAACAAATTTGTAAAAAAAAATTTCAATAGAAAGAGTATCAGACTATCAGTCAACTTCTCCCTATAAGATTTCACATTCTCTCTCTCTCTCTAACACACTGCAAAAAAATTTAAACCCATGAAAAGACAGCGAACTTTTCTCTCTTACACTGGATGCATGGTAACAATGAGCATTTAATCTCTCTCTCTCTCTCTCTCTGTCCAACAGATTGTACCTGTACGGGCTGAGGATTGCTGTCGAGACCGAGACCTTCCTGGTTAAGGGCCTCCTACTTCGCTCCCCAAAATCAGGAGGATCCTCGAAGCCATTCATAGTCGACCCATTCCAATACCCATCCTTAGGCCATAGTGCATTTCCATATCCATAGGTGCCCTTTGTCTCATAAAGCCACCTCGCATGATCAAAGTCATGGTTTGGAGCTTTGAAAGATTTCACAAGAGAAAGCCTCCTCTCTGGTTTCGATCCAGCCATTGATGGAAGAGGAAGAGCTTGGTCGTCTGCTTCAGAAGATGGCTCGTCCTCGGTGTCCACTTCTCTATAAGGTTCTTTACAACCTTGGCACTTTCCACCATTGTTGAATGCATCATAATAACACTCTTTGCAAATTCTAAACCCACAATCACATGGCAATCGAGCTTCATCTCTGATGGCCTTTCCATCACAACCATCCATTCCACAAACGAATTTCACTGATGGAGAAATTTGGGGTTGTTTAGGAAGGCTATCTATAACATGCCCTCTGGTTACGGCATTGAAACCACCAGTATAAATGGTTCCCGAGATAAATTGCTTTTGGGTTTTGCTCATGAGGTTTGCTTCTGGCTCTTCAGGGAGGCTAGAGTGAGAAACCGACATGGGTTGGTGATCAGGGGTTGGTGGTATATGAACAGTGTAGCGAACAAACTCGGAGCTAACTTCTTCGGTTTCATCTCTCGACATTGAGCAATAACGACCGGTCGAAGCTCTATTAGTCTTGCTACTTTGTGGCGAATTCGAATTGTTAGAGAGAGAAGTTCGAGGAACAGGGCTGGTTAGCCCCATTCCCCTGAAACCTCTGGTCCCTGATGTAGACACTGTAACAGTCACCGGGGAAGCCGGTGAAGAAGCCCTTTGGACCATCTTTCCCTTTCTCTCTCTATAGTGAGCCAAGACGGTTCAAATCTTCAGAACCCTAAGGAAAGCCCGAACTTCTGGCAAACCCAACAAGAGAAATAAGCCCCAATTGCAAAATAAACAGAGATTACACCCCCCTACTCTGTAGAATCTAGACTTACATTCTAGAGGGAGAGAGAGATCCAAACTTTTTCAAACTCAAAATGGTAGGATGTGAATGCGTACTTGTGGAGAGAGAAGAGAGAGAGAGAGAGAAAGAGATTCAACGGAACCAAGATTTATATGAAATTTATAAGCTAAAGAGAATAGAGAAATTAATTTGTGCCTGAAAAACAGGGAAAAGCAATGCACCCCCGGCTCGAAGAAGAATGAGCGCTTTCAAAACTGTGAACCCGTTAAAGGGGTCACAACGGTCTGATAATCCAGACCGTTCGTTCTTCTGAATCTCACGGCCAGGATTTGGTTACTGTCCAACGGTCACTTTTAAAACTCCGGTAGGGCCACTTTCGCAGGTAACGGTTACATATAAAAGCTAAGTCAACAAAAAAAAAGGGACCATGACTTTCCTTTTTTACTCTCTAAATCATTGACGTTAATGCCGCTAAGGAAAATTTCGCAGAGACCTTTAATTTTCCATCTTATTTCACGGCGGAATTTTTTTTTTTTTAAGTATCATAAAACAACTCTAAAGTATTTCAACGTACCCCCTCATCTTTTCTTTCTCAAATTTATTCACTTTTAACCACAAAAACTAGTCCCAACAAATTGTTTTATTTCATATCAATTCAAAAACTTTTTTAACCTTATTTTACACTTTTTATAAACTCTCTCTCACTCTTGTGTGCACACACAATTTCAACACAATCGAATTCTTTTTCTTCTTTTTTTTTTTTTGGGCAAAATCAACACAAAATTGAAAAAATACAAAATAAAGTTAAAAACGCTTTCGGATTGAGATGGAATAAAATAATTTATTGGGGTTAGTTTTTGTGGCCAAAAGTGAATAAACATGGGAGAGAAGAGATAGAGGGGAAACAGTGAAATACTTGAAGGTCTTTTTAATGCCGTTTGAAAGAAAATAAAAAAGATTCTACCGTGAAATAAAATAGAGAATTAGGGGTCTGTACGAAATTTTCTCTAAAAATTACCTCCTGTGATGCCCTTATCACATAAAAAAAATAGATTTTATGTTTAGGAAATAGTGAATCTTATAATACATTAATTGGGCTGTCAATTTTCATTATTTTCAAATGTATTTTTAAAACTTTAAATTTTATAATTAAAGATGACGACATATTTTTAGGCCCTCACAAAGATTTTTGTTTTTAAAAAATCATCTTTCGATACTAGAGGTACAACTTTTTTTTATTATTTAGATAAACCGAGATATTATATAATAACGAAATTAATATAAATGGACAAATGGAGAAATTATATAATGGAGAAATTTACACAACCCATACTTATCATTATTCTTAAGTTCCTCTATGAAAGTTCTTATTTAGGGTCATATCCATTTGTTTGATTTTTTCCCCCCTAAATTGCGCATATTTTAGACCTTAAAGTTCCGAAGTGTTGAGGAGAAACTTAGAATTTCCATGGTCTAAAGTTTCCCTGTGATCCAACTTAGAAAATGCTAGAGAATAGCTCTTAAGATCCAATTTCTAAGTTCAAGAATTTCAAACAATAAAGATCCAAAGTTTTTTCGGGGAACAACTTAAATGTCTACCAAAGTTATAAATGCAGGACCTTCAAGGTCCGAAATAGGGGCTCATTTTTAAAAAAGGTGTGAAAAAAGAGTATGAATATGATAACATAAATTTGGTATTCAAAGTTAATTGATTTAAATTTATGTTATCACATTCATACATCTTTTTCACTTTTTTTGTGTCAGACCCGCACAATTCCACTATTACTTGGGTTGACTTATTTTGGGCCAGATTGGCTGAATTTTAATGTTAGAAGGCAGTCCGGCACATACTGTAACGGACCGACACATTTTGTCCAAAGCTAGTTTGACACATGTTTTGTCGAACTGGTACAAACCAGCCCAAAACATTTTTATGCCAGACCGTCACATGTTTGCGTCACATTTTAGAAACATGGGTTAAAACATAGGGATACTTTGGTCCATAAAAATTAACAATTTTATTTGGGGGTGGTTGAAAAGAGAAATCAGTGTCCGACTACTTGGGTGAGTTCACTCGCCAACCTAGCCAACTCGGGGATCTTAAAAAATTCAAAATAATTATATAAAAAGAAAAGAAATGTATTTGTAACACTTTTTTTTTGCGTGTTTATCATTTTGACAAAGATTGGCAAGTATTTCAGCCATGAATACTTATTTTCATATTTTCACTTCTTTTTAGATTATTTCGAAAATACTACCGGTCACAAATTAATTTTTTTCAAAATCCATTTTTTACTACTTTTTAAACTCCATTTATATGTCTTGTTTAATTTTACTTTAAACATATATTTCCTAGTTTTTGGAATTTTTTGCACTTTTTATTTTTAAAACATTTTTTAGTTGGAATAGTAGTTGGCCCAACTTGGGCTAAGTTACTTGGACTCGGGCCGAGTACTCGGCCGGAGTTGTTCAATCGAATACGGAAAAAAATAGTATTGGGGTTAATAATGTAGTATCGAAAGAATTAGGGAAGGGGAGCATGCCTATAAAGTAGCGAGTAAGGGGTATTTATAATTGAACATGGTTTATGTGAGTCCATGTAGAAATGAGTCGACTCTTAAAAATCTATTTTTGAGATGGATTTTTGGTTCCAATTTTTAAGAACATGTAATCTCTAACATGAAAAAGAAAACCAATAAAGTTGTAAGAAATAAAAACAATGATTTTATAAAGAAAACATTTGGATCATTAGTTTCAATTGTTATTAGATGGACCAACTACTTGCATCCATCTTTAAGATGGATGCTTCATACTTGGGACCGCATATTGTAGAAAAGTTTATATAAGGTAGCAACCTTAAAATATAGAATTAAGATGTACCTAAACAATCCATGGTAAAAAAATCCATCGTAAAAGGATGTTTTGAAGGAATACCCTCAAATTGATCATCTCGACATTGAGAT